TCAATCACTATATTCAATTCAGTTTATTTATATAGCGCCAAATTCACAACACATGTCATCTCAAGGCACTTTACAGTTCAACCAGATCATACAGTCAAATTGATACAAAGTTTTCTATCTAAGGAAAACCAGTTGATTGCATTGACTCATTGACTCAAATACAATCCCCCACACTAAGCATGCTTGTAGCGACAGTGGAGAGGAAAAACTCCCTTTTAACAGGAAGAAACCTCCAGCAGAACCAGGCTCAGTGTGAGCGGCCATCTGCCGAGGCCGACTGGGGTTCAAGGAGACAGAAGCAGAGATACAAAAAGCAGCTGTAAAAGGCGGCCCCGTCCAGGAAACACACAGCCAGGCAGACGAGCTCCAAGGCAGCTCCCATGCCAGAGGACGAAGAGAGCACATCCACTCAGTCACGGTCAGAGAAACAGGACCACACTGGAAAACAGGCCGATCTCCAACATCTATTAACAAGGGTGTTGATAGAAGCAGCACAGCTGATGTTTTTTTCCAGGATGACGTCACAGCCAAATAGGAACAGACGAGGCAAAGCTACTCTGAGGAAAAGCAGAGAGAGCAGAAGGTTAGAGATTGAACTAACAGATTCTGCAGAATAGGAGAACAGAGAGAGAATGAAGCAGAATGATGAAATGGGGGTCCCTATGTCCTCCAAAAGTCTAAGCCTATAGCAGCATAACTATAGAGATAGCTCAGGATAACCTGAGCCACCCTAACTATAAGCTTTATCAAAAATGAAAGTTTTAAGCCTAGCCTTAAAAGTAGACAGGGTGTCTGCCTCACGGACTAAAACTGGTAGTTGGTTCCACAGGAGAGGAGCCTGATAACTAAAAGATCTGCCTCCCATTCTACTTTTAGAAATTCTAGGAACCACTAGTAAACCTGCAGATTGAGAGCGAAGTGCTCTGTTAGGAACATAAGGAACAATCAGATCTCTGATATAAGATGGAGCTTGGCCATTTAAGGCTTTATATGTGAGAAGGAGGATTTTAAATTCTATTCTTGATTTAACAGGAAGCCAATGAAGAGAAGCCAGGATAGGCGAGATATGATCTCTCTTTTTAATTTTCATTAGAACTCTGGCTGCAGCATTTTGGATCAGCTGAAGGCTTTTAACTACAGTTTGTGGACTTCCTGATAGTAAAGAATTACAATAGTCCAGCCTTGAAGTAACAAATGCATGGACTAGTTTCTCAGCATCACCCCTGGACAGGATATTTCTAATTTTTGCAATGTTCCTCAGATGAAAGAAGGAAATTCTAGAAACCTCTTTGATATGGGATTTAAATGACAGGTCCTGATCAAAAATAACACCAAGATTTTTTACTTTATTATCTGAAATCAGTTTAATCCCATCCAAATGAAGTGACTGGCTAATCAGTTTCTTTTTCAGAGACTCTGGTCCAAAGACTATAACTTCTGTTTTGTCTGCATTCAGAAGCAGAAAATTAAGAGTCATCCAGGTTTTTATGTCTTCAAGACATGCCTGTAATCTATGTAATGGGTTAGCTTCATCTGGATTTATAGACAGATATAGCTGGGTATCATCAGCATAACAGTGGAAATTAATCCCATGCTGTCTAATAATTCTACCAATTGGGAGCATGTATAAAGTAAAGAGAATTGGTCCTAGCACTGATCCCTGTGGTACTCCACAGGTAACCTTTGAGCGTGTTGAAGATCTATCATTAACATGAACAAACTGAATTCGATCAGATAGATAAGATTTAAACCAGTCTAGTGCTGTTCCTTTAATTCCAACAAAATATTCAAGTCTTTCTAAAAGAATATTATGGTCAACTGTATCAAATGCAGCACTAAGATCCAACAGGACGAGCACAGATACAAGTCCATTATCTGAGGCCATGAGAATATCATTAGTGACTTTCACCAGAGCTGTTTCAGTGCTATGATGAGCTCTAAAGCCAGACTGAAACTCTTCAAAAAGTTCATTATGGTGGAAGTGATCGCAAACTTGTTTGGCAACTACTTTCTCAAGAATTTTGGATAAGAAAGGAAGATTGGATATAGGTCTATAATTGACCAAGTCATCTGGGTCAAGAGACGGTTTCTTAAGCAGAGGTTTAATTACAGCAATCTTAAAAGCTTTAGGTACATATCCCTGTAACAGAGATAGATTAATCACATCTAAAATGGAGGAGGAGATCAAAGGGAATACCTCCTTAAATAACCTGGTTGGAACTGGATCTAACATACAAGTTGAAGGCTTAGATGAAGACAATAATTTTGCTAATTCAGAGAGTTCAACTGGATCAAAGCAGTCTAAACCCGGTTCAGATTCCATGACTACCTCAGGTACAATCGCGGATAGAGGAGTGCTTATGATCTTATTTTTAATAAGATCAATCTTATTTATAAAGAATCCCATAAAATCATTGCTGCTAAGAGCAGGTGGAATGGACGGTTCAACAGAGCTATGGCTCTGGGTGAGTTTGGCAACTGTATTAAAAAGAAATCTAGGATTATTCTTATTCTCCTCTATTAATGAGGAGAAGTATGCTGCTCTTGCTTTACAAAGGGTCCTCTTATACAACAGTAAACCATTTTTCCAGACTAGGAAGGACTCTCGCAGGCCTGTGGAGCGATATTTTCTCTCCAGTTTCCTAGCATTTTGCTTCAAAGTACGCAGCTCTGCATTAAACCAAGGAGCAAGCTTTCTATTTTTAACGGTTTTCATTTTCAAAGGAGCTGCGTTGTCTAAGGCAATACGCAGAGAACTAGCAACCCCCTCAATATATAAAGCGGGGACTATAGTGGACTAAATAGCAAACTCAGTTAGATTACTATTCGGACATATGATCGCTGCTTTTTGCTCCACGTTTGTCACTACACTCCACTCCAAGCATTCCAGGATATATCTCTCCCTTCTGAGGCCTTTCTTTTCTTCTCATACACTTCATAGTCACTTTTTCTTTTACGACCCTCTGCCATTTTCAAAGAACCGCATTGAGAGTTGTGAGCTTTATATGACTGTCTGAAACCGTAACACTACGCATCTTTGCTGAAAGTGCGCATGCGCAGAAAATAAAGCACGTAGGACGGCCTTACGTAAACATATCACCAGAATGATAGGCAATTAGGAGGACCAATTATTTAGATGATCCACATGGAAATAAATGATTGACATCTAAACCTTTAAGTTGGTTTTCATAAAACCATTAGGACTTAATTGGAAAGGTTTTTCCTGTTTGGAATTGTGGAAGCAACTTTAACTCATTGCAAGGTAATAGAGTACTAGTCCATTTATCATATTTTAGTAATATTAATTTAGAATAGTCGTCCCTTTCAGCTAATACATTTCAAAACATGTTCACCTATGATAAAGGAGATGAGTCTTTGTCCCTTCATTTCCACCATGAAGTGTAATGGTCAAGCTGATACTATAACTTTTTCTGGAAGTATGACAATATTTTTTAGTATTTCTTTTTCAGACCACTCACTGGCAATGAACAGCAACTGGTGGGAAAGGGGGGGGGGGGGGGGGGGGGGGTCTTAATCACTGTTTTCTCCACACAATGGTTCAAGAAACCATCACTTCTTCTTTTCTCTTTAAAGAAATTTCAACTGGTTTTACTTAGCAGCACATTAAGACTCCAGAACCCATTGTTACTGGTAACAAGGGTTAGGATATATTTACTCTTTTATTTGGAACAACAGCTGTTTGTCATAGACGGGTTCAGCAGATGTTCTTGAGAGCATAGACCACTATAACAGTCCAAATTCATATAGTTTAATAAAACAGGGAAGTAATGAGGGATCTTGGTCATCTGCAATTCATCAGTTGTTTGTTTCCCATTCAATAAAAAGTCACATTGTTCTTTTTTTTTACTTATCTTTCTGGGTAAATTTGTTTTCATGAGCTAAATGAGATTAATAATTTCTCTGTATTACCTTTTTTCTTTACTCATTAGGTTTTAAAGATCTGCCATATCAGGTTGTCCGGGCAAGTGACTGCATGTGCGGGTAACTGCATGAGTCTGCCGGTTTCTGAGAAAATGCACACGTCTTTTTAACTGCATGGGAAAAGTGCACAAACCATTTAGTCTCTGTACCTTTTTAACAACAGGATTGCATAAAAGGAACTTGTGACTCATTTCAGCAGAGGATAGGAAAACTATTTTAGGTGACTGTCTGACCAGTCCTTCTGCCTCCTAGTATCACTTTGGCTGCCGCTGGCCTCCGATGCATTTCCTTGAGTTGTTTGCTGAGGACCATCGTCATCATGAATAGAAGAGAGCTCAGCTGAGCTGTAAAACTGAACAAGATTTCCGAGCACAGACTGAAGAATGTGGTTCATTTAAAGTATGTGATGACACCAAGGAGCAGGACTTTCAGGTTCTGTGAACTTAGGAACACATGACTCTTGGATTAGTGTTCAAAGTTTATTGTTTATGCTTTCTTCTTACTGACGAGTTAAGTTCAACACTGAGTTTATGAAGCAATACTAAAAAAAGACATGTGTTGAGCTGGCCTCTGCTTGCTGTGGTTCTACCAGTCAAGCGAGAGAAAGGCTACGAACCCTGATAGAAAACCTGATGAGAGACACGCCTGAACACTTGTGGTGAATCCACCTTCCTGTGGAGTCATCTGGAGCCTTTTTACTCTTAGTGTTTACCAACAGCATGACTAATACCAGCATTTTATTTCCTTATTGTACTGTCTTGTTCAATGCCATGGAACATGTAAATGTGTTTTCAAGTGTTTTTTTTTTTTTTTCATAAAGGAAAGCATGAGCCACTCATTAAGCTGTCCCATTATGAATGGTGATGAGGTTGTGTAATAGTGTTTTTGTGTGATGTTGCTTCAGAAATAAATCAGTTTCATCCTAACATGATATCAAACATGTTGGTATAACCATTATGTAGATTATGGGCATGAGTTTTTTTTTTTTACCCCATTTCATGCATGATCAATAGGTCATGATTGATTGACTGTTAATTAGAAGAATGTTTACCTTTCAGACCCAAACCGAACCCACCAAAGGTACAACAGTGATTACAGTTCATCTAGTGAAAGCCCCTCCGTTGCCTCTTCGGATCCAGACTACAGGCAAGGTAAGAAACATCCTTAAACCTTTAATATTTTCACATGGATTTATGAAGACAATCATTTCTTTTTGTATTTATATCCAATTCAAACTAATTCAGTAATCCGATTCAACTATTCAACTATTTTAGTAATCGATTAATCGTTAACTTGAGTTTAGCAAATGTAAAACATTACTTTAGGTGACAGATCAACCAACTCTCGAGCAAGTACTATATCAAAATTGTAAAAAAAAAAAAAAATATATATATATATATATATATATATAAAAAATTCCACTTGTGTTAATTCATAGTTTGGATGCCAAACTCTTCCCCTTTTAGGTCAGTTAGCGTTATTTCTGTTTACCTAAAAAAGAATTGATGTATTACAGAGATTACTTTTTAATGAATACTTTTGAGTTGTTTTTTTTACTAAACACATACCCATACTTTTCATATTTTAGTATGGTCTAAAACAAGATTCAGTTCATAATGTGTGCTGAGGCTTAGTGCTGTTATCTTTATTTTGGGAAACAATGATGCTACCTGTAATGATATTTAAGGACAAGAATCTTTGCTCTTGGTTCTTTTTATCCCTAAATCACATGCTCATTGTTTGACGTACCTTTCCATTTATTTCCTTGACTGGTTCCTCTGCAGCTAACAAATAAAGGCCCAACTATTATAACAAAGAGATCTTAGGATTATGCATCATATTCAACTTGAACATTTTTAAACAGGTCTTCACTTGTTGAAGGATGAATAGAGTTATGAAATGCTTCATAGTCAGGCCTTTCAATAAATTACATTTGCAATATAAAAGCAGTTTTTTCAAATCATAGATGCATTTCATTTTGGTCACGTTACATTGGAAAAAGTAAGACACCAATTTTCTCACTCTGGACCTTTAGGTGGCATTAATACACTTAAAGTCGGTTTGCTGCCTCACAAAAAGGGAGAGTTGCTTTAGCACGAAAGTAGAAGTAGCACTTTCCCTTCCAGCAGTAAAGTTCAACAGGATTGAACCTGGACAAGAAAGATTTTAAGGTTATAAAACAATGAAACCAAGCAGTGAAAAATCTGCATGTTTGTGGTTCGTTCAAAGAGAAAAAAAATACAGAATTTGTTAAAAAAAAAAAAAGAAAATCACAGTTTTGACTTTTGGTGAAACTGTTCAGCCTTACCTCCTACAAAGGTATTGTTTATATTTGGATTTTTTTCCCACGCTACTCAAATAAAATAAAATAAAAATTTTGGCCACCACAACATGGAAAAGCTGTTATCACTCTTAGTACTGCTAAACTGCAGTGTCACTTTATGCGCACATTTAATGCAAGTCAGCAGATGTTAATAATGCTCCTGGCTTTGCCTGACTTAAGTGTTCCCTGTAACTACTGTTCTGCTCAAACATATTCATGCAAGTTTAATCACATCACCTTGTGGGTGTCAGGAGGGGTGTGTTAGATTGATAAAAACTGAATGTAGTGCTTTGTGCTCATTTGTGCAGCTGATATTCCCACATCTCTTGCAGCTAAGAAACCTGCTGAGGTGACGAGGTACGGCTCCCAGCTGGCACTTGCAGAACACGATGCCCTGTCACTGAGAAGCCACAACTCACAGAGACATAGGTAATAAACATAAGGCCGAATGCAGCTGTGGATCAGAGGCTGCCTGATCCATCACACATTGACACCTTTAAAGTTGATACTGCTTCATTACTTTTTTTTCTTCCCCCTGGCCCATGTTAACTGGATCTTTCAGAAGTTATTTCTCTCTGATGCTATCCAGCATCCCATTTCCTCTGCAGGCGTTTCTACTTATCCTGGTGCTGGTGCAGTACTCTCTGAAAACACAGGGGGCAGTACACCACATAAATAGTTAAAAGATAGTGAGTGAGACACATTGAAATCAGCTGTGTTCCCAAAAAACATTTCCTATCATCTTAGTTCTGCTGTAGGTAGCTCATTGCAATGTCTCACTGGGTGAGTGATATTTTGCATGTTAAGGGGAGCTATGAACAGCTCCTCCCAGTATGAAGAAAAAGAAGGAACTAGGAGTGAGTTAAATTAGATAAGATGATGAAAAGAAGGGAGAAAGAAATAGGTAGGGCTGTGAAGCAGAAACAAAATATATAGTTTCTCTTTAGCAATGTTCAGTCTTACCCTCTACCCTGCCCCCTTTTACACAAAATCCTGGTGGAAACTCTGATTTACTGGTCAGTGTGAGTTATTCTATTTATGCCATTACCATACCAACACTGTGAGATACAAAGCCATGCAAACTGTCGGCAGTTCGTACGCCAGAATGAAGAAAAGAGACCAGCACATGTATTTAAACTTTGCAAGGAAAAAAAATCAAATGCAAACACAAGGAGATGCAAATCCCATACACACCCAGAACCGTCTTGGTGTGGGTCACTCTGGTAACCGCATCTATTGTTCCCGAAAATAAAAACGAAAAGAGCCGTTTGCCTGCATAGTCATTTTAACTTAAAGGGTTTCTTTATGGTGTATGTTTTTCTTATTGCATACATGAAGTCATTTTAATTATTGCAATGACTCCAGTCAGCGCACTAAGGCATACAGGAGCATCTTTGTCTTGAGAAAAGGTGATGTGTGTGCGCGCCTACTCATAAGGCTTGCTGCCCTCCTGACCCGACCAATGAGCAGAGCAGCATCAGACAAAGCCGTCCCATTTTAGCCCTCCAGGCTACACACAGCTGGTGTGGCACAGCAGGATCAGCCTCATGCTTCAGTTGTGAGATCATCAAATGTGACATTCACATTCAGTCCTCTTGATCTCTCTAATCTCGACATGACCGGCCTAAACAGCCTGCTGTTGGTACGCCTTCTCCATTTGGAAGGAGTCCTTTTGATCTGCAACTGTCTTTTTTTGAAGTTGTGTTTTAACAAATCATCCATCCATAAATCTTTACCAGTTAACATTGGGTTCCCTTCAGGCACAATGAGGGTACAGCTGACGAAAGTGCTGAGATGCTCCTTCAGAGGCAGGAGGAAGAGGTGCAACGACTGCAGACACAACTAGCCAACAGACTGTCCAGGGCCAACTTCTACCCTGCAGACGAACCCCTTCTCCAGCCTCATGCTTCAGCACTTGACCTTCAAGACCCTCTGTATCCTCCTTTATCGCTCCGCAAAAGCAAGGTTTGTGTACTTTGTGACTTGGCACTTAAAGATATGCACCAAAAGAGATAACCTTAATCCATCATAAAGACAACTCAGAAAATCCTAATCCCCCATGTCTATAGAATCTATCATTAATACACCTTTATTTAAGCTCCCTTCATCCAAGCAGCTTGAGGCTCATACTGAGGTTCCTGATGATGCATGTACAAATTCAACTTGCATAAGCTTATTGGCAACAAAGTTGTTGACTCTGTCCTCATTTGATGTTGTGCAAATGCAAACTGCTGACTCTATACTTTAATTTATTCCTTTCTCTGTTGAGTTAATTGTAAACATGGCGCTTTTAGGAATTTTAGAGTTTGCTCCAGATTTATTCCCTCTATGATTGCAAATTCAGTATAAAAAAACGTGTTAGTTGGTAAATACAGGAGCAAATTTGCTGATGTTGGCATCAAAGCCTTAACTCTACTGCAGTGTGCTGCTGTAGTACTCGATTATGCACACATCTATGTGAGAAAGCTCATTTGTCATGTTTGTGGTCTGTTTGGTTGATGGGATTTCAGTTGTTGGGGTTGATAGTTGGAAGTTAGGTTGTCTGCAGGGCAACGAAAAGCATAAAGGCTACAACAGTATGAAATATATAAATGTAAGGAGTGAATAAAACTTTTCTATCTTTATATGTATATAGAGCTTTTATGGACCTGAGTTTGTGAAGATGGCCAGCGAGCCGTCAGTTCCCTTATCTGTGCCTTCGTCTATAATGGTGAGCATTTAACGCTAATCCTTCTGGAAATAAAATTATTCTGGACCTTCATTAACCACTGCTTCTTTTCTATTTTCAGCAACAGAAGCGCAGTAAAGGGGAAGAAGTGCTGAGGAAGGTCAGCGTTGTTCTCCTAAATGGGCAAAAATTAGAGCTGGGCTGTGACCTTAAGGCGGTTTGTAAGGACGTTTTTGATATGGTGGTGGCACACGTCGGCCTGGTTGAGCACCATCTCTTTGGCCTTGCATACCTCAAAGGTAATTTTGAGATGTTTAGGATTCTTCTGGTTTGCCTTGATATTTGATACTTCTTTTTCAACATGTAGACTGAACTTATACTCTCCTAAATGCAAATATGTGCCCCTTGAACATTTTCATACTTTGAAACGTAAAAAAAAAACAAGCTTTAGTTTATTTTGTTGGAATTTTACAGGGTGGAACAAGACAAAGTACTTAACTAGAAGTGCAGAGATGATTTGGTTTTTAAAATTTTGATAGTTTGATCAGTCTTTAATCAGACTCTCTATCATTCTCTGGATTTTTAATCACATAAATCCCAGTCAAAAGCAATGAAGGTATTGTTAATTATCAAACTTTCAGATTGACTTAACAGTATTCTTCTGCCTTCCCTAACCCTTTAAAAACATTTACCACAGAAACTGAGTTCTTCTTCGTTGAACCCGATGCCAAACTCACTAAAGTGGCTCCTGATGGTTGGAAGGAGGATCCCAAGAAAAGAAGATCCGACGTGCTTTTTAACCTCTTCTTGCGCATCAAATTCTTTCATGATGATGTCAACCTCATACAGTAAGCTCAAATATTTGAAATCCCCTGCTCCTTAATACATGTTCCCATGATGCAGCCCGACAAAAGCATAATATTTCAAGATCTGTTTGACGCTTCTTGTGTCTTTGATAAACAGACATGCTTTGACCAAGCATCAGTACTACCTGCAGCTGAGGAAGGATATCTTGGAGGAACGGATGCACTGCAATACAGAAAATGCCCTGCTGCTGGCTTCACTGGCTTTACAGGCTGAATATGGCGACTACCAACCAGAGGTACCAAAGTTCTGCTTTCAATAGTTGTAATACTAATAAAAACTGAATTGTTTCTTTTTCTTACTTATCCTGCCTCGCAAGTACCTTAAGTACCATATATTTTCTTTGTTAATTTGCTTCTAAAAAGAAAAAGGCCATATCTTAAATGGTTTTAAAGGAGAAGTTCGGTTTTTTACACTTTAAGCCCATTTTCTGTAGTGTCCAGGATGAAATCGAATGAAGGACACCAAAATTTTGACAATTGGTCCTGTCTCTGCTTTTTGGCTCATTTAGAATCAACCCCTGGCTGCTTTAGAATGGCTAGCATAGAGCATGTCCGATAATGTCCTTAAAACAACCTTAAACGTTCTTTTTTTAAAATATGCTACTCACCGTGTCGTCAGCGCTGTTCAATGACGTTCCAAAAAAAGTTTCGTGAAGAAAAAACGTTCCTGTAGTGTTTTATTTAGCATTTTGTAAATCCCATTGAGTTCTGTAGGAATAGTCAATATTCCGCTGCCACCGGAAACGGAAATGGGGCCTGTTTACACAGTTGTAGTCTTTTCGCTTCACTCTGTGTACTCCGACGTCGAGAATCAAGAATCCACCTTTCGTATTCCATTTTCAGAGTTTTTTAAAGTGTTTAACAGAGACGTTAGCACCTCGACGTCGGAGTACGCAGAGTGAAGCGAAAAGACTACAACTGTGTAAACAGGCTCCGTTTCCGGTGGCAGCGGAATATTGACTATTCCTACAGAACTCAATGGGATTTACAAAATGCTAAATAAAACACTACAGGAACGTTTTTTCTTCACGAAACTTTTTTTGGAACGTCATTGAATAGCGCTGACGACACGGTGAGTAGCATATTTTAAAAAAAGAACGTTTAAGGTTGTTTTAAGGACATTATCGGACATGCTCTATGCTAGCCATTCTAAAGCAGCCAGGGGTTGATTCTAAATGAGCCAAAAAGCAGAGACAGGAGCAATTGTCAAAATTTTGGTGTCCTTCATTCGATTTCATCCTGGACACAACAGAAAATGGGCTTAAAGTGTAAAAAACCGAACTTCTCCTTTAAGGATCTGGTCAATTCCTCATGAAAATGCAACTGTTGTTTATGTCTGTGCTCCAGCTTCATGGGAAGACCTATTTCAGACTGGAGCACTACCTCCCTTTGTCCGTCTTGGATAAGGTGGGCCAAACGACTCTGCGGGAACAGCTGCCTAAACTACACAGTAACTATTACGGAGTATCGGAATCAGAGGCAGAGTTTGAGTTCCTCAAGGTTAGCAAGAACAAAATGACCCGAGTTCTGATCCTCTGTGTGGTTAAATTAAAATGTATTTCACTTTGGACTTTATCAAAAAATTATTTAAACAGAATACTAAGAATATGTATGATGATCTAAAAAGTCTTGAACTTATGTATAAATCATAAAATTGTAATTCTTTGTATATTGAAATTCCTTGTAGGTGATCCTTTTAACTCAATTTTAAATATTTGGTACAACTTCTGTTGTCATAGAAGTCAACTTACTGTTTTTTGTTTGCAGTTTTGCGGTATTTACTATTTAAGAACACTGTGTGTTGTTTGTTTAAAAGGTAAGCCAGAAGCTGACTGAGTACGGAGTCCATTTCCATCGAGTGCTTCCAGAGAAGAGGTCCCCAACGGGCATCATGTTGGGGGTCTACTCCAAAGGAGTGCTCATTTTTGATGTGCTTAATGGAAATCGAACGCCTGTACTAAAGTTCCCCTGGAGGGAGACCAAGAAGATTTCCTTTGCAGTGAGAAATCATCTCTTATCTATAAATTATACGTTTTTTTTTATTTTATTTTTTATTTTTTTTTTTTATTTGTAAAGATTAGATAAAATGTTTCTCACCGTTCTTTCTTTCTTCCTAAAGAAAAAGAAAATTTGCCTCCAGAACACATCGGATGAAATCAAGCACCTTTTCCAGACTGACAGCAACAGGACATGCCAGTATCTGCTGCAGCTGTGTTCTGATCAACATAAGTTCCACCTGCAAACGAAGGCACGCCAAAGCAACCAGGAGCTGCAGGATCTCGGTATGCCAGACGTACGCAGTCATGCAAACATAAATGGGTAGAGCTTATAAACCAATGCAGCCTGGCAATCTGTAAACCTGTACAGCAGGAACACCAATTTTAGAAAGTAAAATTTAAGCTGTGAGATCTGACACCAGGAAGCATTATTGTTAATATTTTTATACTGGTACTGTTTAAAGATAAGAATTCAGTCTTTGTAGAATTTTTTTATCTAACTAAGGAAACCGACTGAGAGAAAGAAAAGGAGCTGTTATTGAAATAAAATAAAATGATTTTCAGAATTGTTATTAACATTGTAAACAATGATTCTGTTACATCTTAAAATATTTGTGATATCATGTTGAACTATACAGGCAAAACTGGAGATTTATCAATTTTTTCCTATCTACATTGAAGAAAGGGCATTAAATACAACCTCTACCCCTCCCACTCACACTACTGTAGCAAATTCAGCATTGTTTTAAAGCTGAGCTAGAAGTCTTTAACACCTTACTCTAAAGCTCTGAAAAATTTTCAAGACTAATATCTCATTTAACGCCTGATATTCCAGTAGGGTCAACAAAAATGTTTAATAATTGCCTGAGAAAAGCATGAGGTGTATTGGAAAGATCCAAAAAGACACCTCTTAGACATAATGGAATGGAGTTGATCATTTCCCCAATATTTGTATATTCTGTGTCTTTTGTTTAATCAGAGAACTGCCCCTTGAGCAGTATGCAGTATTCCATTGACTCGCAAGCTGGCGATGCATCAGCCAGGGCAGCAGGCCGAGTCAGCATGGCCCAAAGCTTATCCACACGCTCCAATCCAGACCACCTGAAGAGGATCTCCTACTCAGAGGTGGCCCTCAACAAGACACCATCTGGCTCGGTATTAGTCCACGATGAGCTCCACCTTCCAGGTTACAACCCATTAGCATCTACCGTCTTTCCCAACCCCCGGCTGATGAGTCGGTCCCACCACAACCTGGCTCAGATGCCGGAGCCTGAGGAGAACCCAGTGTTGGAATTGCTGCGTTCATCCAAAAGCAGACTGACCCAGCCTCAGATAAACCCAGCAGCATCAGGTTTCCAGCAGCATCAGCGAGCAAACTCCGACACAGACTCTATTTCTCACCCTCAGGATAAGTAAGTAAAGAGAACTTTGATCTCGAGAAGAAAATTATTACATCTCTGTTTTGAATTAACTTTTTTGCTAAGTCATTTTATCTACTGGTTCCCATGTTTCTTTGTGTGTAGTTTCTATAAACCCTCATCACAATGAAACCAGTAAGATTACTAACTTGTTCTTTGGCTTAAGAGACACTAGAGACGGATCTCTACCTCAGCCTAATTGACTCTCTGGGGGGGGATCTCTGCATGTGGGGGTACACAATCCCCTGGGTCCATAGGAGCCTCTCCCTGGTTATATGTGTGCTGTTTTATTTAGGGCTTGTCACTTTATGTTGTCATGGACTTTTATCGCATCGATATTTGGTTTAACATTACACACAAACAAATGGGCTGCAGGAAACGGATGGTTAAGTTTTGTCGATTCTAAAGGTGCCTTATAAATAAATCTTCATTGTTTTTTGTTTTTTGACAGGTATTTGGGTGGAGTTTTCCACAACAGCCCATCATGGCATCTCAGTCAGCCTAAAAAGGAATCTGACTCTTCTTCTATAGAGGACAATGGACAAGCATATGTAGTTGGTAAGATTATACATAATTAAAAATAAACTATATCAGAAGATTTGTGCTTAAAAACTATGCTAGAGCTTTGTCTTACTCCAACAGTAACATGGATTAAACACATTTTTACTGCATTAAATTGCAAGGAAAACCTGATAAACTACGGTTTCTTTTAGCTTTTAATTTATTTATAAGCACCAGTTACATTAAGTGGACAAAGCAACATAAAAGAAAAACTTAATTTAGCTCTTATAAAGTCCCAAATATACCACAAGTAAATACAAAAATGAATTGTAAAAAAAACTTAATGATTACTTTACTGTGTAAACCATCAGAGGACAGAGCCAGAAGATATGATGAATGTTTTACTTCTTAGTTTCCAGTTTCTCCCGCCTCTCAGCCAGTGTTTACTTTGTACAGATTTAACGACATATCAGCAGAGGCTCTTCCAGACAAAACATTTCATAGCCTCAAAGTCTGAGATTTTCCACTGGAAAGTAAACATTATTGGTTTTATTAATTTATATTTGAAAGTTTCTTAAAAAACAAAACAAAAAAAAGTTTCATTCATCTTCATTTTACAGCAGTAGATTCTAAAGTTTGTATTCCTTGGTGGTGAAAAACAACCAATGCACTTTTGACTTCAGAATTTAAACAGAATAGCCAAAAAACATCTAATGGATTTTTATATAATTGATGTAAAAAGAGAATTTATAATACATAGACAGATGGAAAAAAAATAAAAAAAATAAAAAAAAAAATATATATATATATATATATATATATATATATATATATATATATATATATATATATATATATATATATATATATATATATATATAGGCATCAATAATGTTAATGAACTTAGAAGTAATTCAATAGCCTTTTAAGGATCTTTTCTACATTTTTACTTTGTGGGGTTTGAGGCTTAATACTTTATGGTTTATTGTATAACAGCATAGGTTCGGTATTGGCTTAATGAGGAACCATTAAGATGGATTTTTTTACTACTGTGTTTATCAGTCATTGCCTCCAAACAGAAACAGTAGGCTTGGTCATGTAAGGAGGAGAGAAGAATGCAACACATTAACTTTTACCTGCAGTAAAGCTGTGTTTCTTGTGTTATTTTGATTATGCTTCTCAATAGGTACAATAGATTTACTTATATATACTGACTAATTATCAAGAGAGGGACATTTATACTACGTCTCCTACTCAAAGAGAATAATTTACTAATGGTTGGAATGGCTGCTCTCCTGTGTTGTTCTCAGGTGTCAGTATGCACAGTTCCTCTGGAGCCTCTTCAACACCAGCCTCTGTTAATGGTATGTCCATGGTTTGTCATCGGTGTAATGAATTCACAGTGGCATACTGTAGATCACGCTTATTTCAACACATGCTTAAGAAAAGAGTAAATCTTTTCTTTTTTCTGTATTGGACAGATTCTCTGAAAATAAAGCTTAATGAGCTGCCATCTCTGGAGAGGGATATCACAGCTGTAAACCTGAAGAAAGATCCCAAGTATGGACTGGGTAAGCATGCAGTTATTAGCATAGCATATCTGTCTGTCATTTCCTCATTCACAAATCTGAACAGGATTCTACATCAGTCAGTGGCTTTCGGTGCTCATGGGGTCCAATGTAAGAGGAAGGAGCTTGCGGAAAAGTTCTAGTGTTTTTATTCCTGAGATTATAAAGAAATTAATGAAGGATTTGAGGATTTGCTGCGGTCCATCAGGACCAGAACCTCCCGTCACAAAAACAGTTTTTTCCCATCTGCTATCGGCCTTATCAACAAGGCCAAGACCCGCCCGTGACACTGGACAATGTTTCTCTCCCCCATTCAGGATTTCTGCGTTACATTAACGCACAGTCTACTGTTTGTATATAGCTTCTGTGTATATATATTTATATATATTCTATCTTATTTTGTTATTTTGTTTTGTTTTGTTGTTTTTTTTGTCTGCACCAACAACACCAAGTCAAATTCCTTGTAAGTGCAAACCTACTTTGCAATAAACTTGATTCTGATTCTGATTCTGAGAGAAACATTAGGAAAACATACATGTGAAAGTATTTGCACATGTGCTGATTGGTGTACGTTGTGAATAAATAAAGAAATTAATACCGTTCTGCTTGGACTCCAGATAATGAGCAGTCGCTTCAGCTTAACAACAAGGTTTTATTGTTAAAGTTGCTTCTGCTGCGATGAAACGATTCCCCCAAAGTTTCTTATTTGCAGCATCACTGGTTGTATCTGTGTGTTAAAGGGTTCCAGGTTGTTGGAGGGGAGAGCTCTGGTTCTTCAAACCTTGGTACAATCATCAGCTCAATTACTCCAGGGGGTCCGGCTGATCTAAACGGCCAACTTAAACCTGGTAGGACATTGATTCATGGTTTTAAATAGATGTGCTGTGTTTCAGATTCTTAGTTATTGTTATATAACAAAGTTGGAAATGTTTCAGGTGATCGACTGATATCTGTCAATGATATAAACCTGGATGGATTCTCTCATGATGAAGCAGTTGAAGTCCTTCAAAACACTTCTGATGATGTGACTCTGGTAGTGTCACAACCCAAAGAGAGGCTTTATAAAGGTAAACATAGAAACGTAAATCTGTTTTAGTTTCAATTAAAATGGATAAATATTGGCCTAACTGTGTCCTGCATCACTTTTCTGTCCCCTCAGAATCTCCTCCATATGTTTCCAAAGCACCAAAATCATCTTTTAATTCACCTAGACAGGCTCAGAGAGGAGAGCTAGAGATTGAGGTGTCGTCAGAGGATCATCGTAGCACAGTTAGCCCCAGCCCCCCTCCCCATGGTCCTGGTACTCCCTCAGTTGCCTCATCTCCAGTACGTCAGCAGACCAGCCCCAGCTCTCAGGATTCTAGGACGAACAGTTCTTCTAAAATCAGCGCGCCCTCACATGATAGAGTCCAGCAGGCCTTAGAAAGAATGAAAGCTGCATCCTCAGCTGAGGGCACTGCCGAACACGGAGCACTGAAACCAAAGGCTGAAACAAATCTTTCACCTCCAGCCCTGCCTCCAAAAACTAGAAAAGTCAAACTCTTAGGAGCTCAAGTTTCTGAACAGTCTGACCGGGGGGATACAGACATGGATGAAGAGACGTATTCCAGTAACCAGCAAAAACTAAAGGTCAAAAAGGTGAGGTTCTTATGTTTTTGAATTTCTTACTTTCTCCTTATTTTACTTTTCTTCAACAACAGTTGTTTACTCTGAGGGACCAACAACCCAAGTACACAAAGTCGTCTTTTAATGGGTTGGAACAAATCTTTCTCTGATTAACAAGCATCCTGTCTGCCTGATGCTTGACACCACTAACTGCATGTTATTACCTTGCCTTCCAGCATCAGTAGAAGGCAATTTTGACCTGTATACTGCATGATGAGCATCCGTTTGATTTGACTGCCTTAACAAATTCTCCTTCTTCACTCGGCCTTGATCACCTTTCCCTCACTGCATGTTTAATTCACCTTGATGCCATGTTCTCTGTTTGCAGGAAAACATCATGGAAAATGTAAATGGTAATGCCCCAGGGGTCAATAGTCTCCGTCCTGGAGATCTATTTGACGTTGAGCTGTCCAAAATAGACAGCAGCCTGGGCATAAATGTCACGGTACTGTTCGACAAGGTTTTCACCCTCTCTTTGATTTGGCTCCTTTCTGGCTCATCTCCTCACTGTTGCTCTTCGTTGTTTGGTTTGGTTTCGATTTGCAATCTCTTCATGCTTTGTTTTGGAATTTTGCTTGTCCTTTTTTTAATCTGAACATAAAAAAATGCTAATAAAGTTTTTAATCTTTAGCACAGTGGCAGTAGTTACTAACAGCTTTGTAAAAATAGTTGCTTTGTAGATTTTCCATGGCTGGCTTTGTTTTGTGCTCGATGGCTCTTTTTTCTGGAGAGATATTAACCCAGCTTTTCTCAGGAAGTGTATAAGTTGATTTCATGGGATTCTATAACTTCTCACTCAATTACCAGCTACTAGACTACATATGCTGCCTTAGAAAAAGTAGAACTATCACTCATGCTCTTAGCAGCCATGACACCCCTCCCCAAACTTTTTGCTACAGTTTCTTAATACTTTGGAAATGTCTTATGTAGTATTGTGAGCACTATTCTCTTTTTTTTTTTTAAGAATGAATTTTTATTCTGTTTTTTTTTGTCACATCACAGATTATCATTAAATACCGACCAATGGTGGCTTTAGTAAACTCAAAATGCAGTTGTTAAATGATAATTTAATACATTAATAAGGGTGGTCTCCTACACCTGCAAACTGATACCCTCTCCGGCAGCTGGGACTTAAAGGTTTAAGTGACTTACTTTGATTAAGCCACTCTAAACCATTAGTTTTGTTTCAGCTATCCAACAGTAGTTCAGACCATCACGATGCCACAGCTGTGTTCGACAGTCTGTGTGTCATTTTTCCCAGACGTGGAAGTAAAACTATTCTCCTTCTCTAAGAAGTAAAACTACTCATAGAGAAGTAGTCCTACCTCGTTTTGGTAGATATAAAAACCCAACAAGGTGAATCACTTTTCTATTTATTCTCCTCTCACTGTATTTAGATGCGGTCTTAAATTCAAAAAAATTGCTTCTTAATCTGATGGATGACAATACGTTTACATCTTCTTCTTTCATGTTGACTCGTGATTTGGATAAATTATCTCATTTAAAGGCTGCATTTTGCTTTTACTCCTACTATATGGTGATTGGGTCCAATCTGGTTTATATGTTTTTTTCTTTGTTATGTACTAGCATTATTTATATTTTGATCAATGGAGAAGTTTGTTTCTGAAAGCTTTAATGTGACAAACAAAGCAAAATTAGGTAAGGTATTAAAGGACAAAATTACTGTTTCAGAGTACTACGCTTTCCATCGTCTTAACTGTGAATTGTGGTAAAATTATCTTTGGTCCTTGGAGCTCTTTTCTTATAACTGATATAAATCAAGAAACAGTTGCCTGGTATTAAAAGCATGTTTTTTTTCTTCTATTTTTTAGTAGCTGAGGGAATTCCCTTAAAAGAAATGAACAGATTAGTGATCTATTGTTCTAATTTATAGTAAAGACTATGTTCAACAGGAATCATTTAAAGTTTATGATATTATTAAAATCTTAAGATATGCTAATTCTCTTTAGAAAAGTTGGTACATTTGATCGTAGTTTCAATAACATTTTGAAAAAAAAAAAATTCTTATTAATTGTAATAAAAAAAGATTAAAATATTTTCCCCTCATAAGCAGGGGCGTATGTAGTTTCCAACAGCAACTGTTGTATTAAGGGGGGCTCCAAATGTTTTAATTTCTAGACATTTTCTTTAACAAAGCAAATATTCTTTTGCTCTTTAACATAGACTATAGAAAAAAAAATCATCACATCTGCCATTAACCCAAATAGAAACATAGTACGGCACCAACTTCCCTTTGGCTGAAGAGCTTTTAATTTCCTAGGGTGGAGCTAACACAACCGTCCGGCACGGAGGCATCTATGTGAAAGCCCTCATTCCACAAGGAGCTGCAGACCTGGATGGGAGAATACAGAAAGGTGAGCAGTTAAAAACGGATACTGCAAACACTGAAGTAAAGACCAATTAATTTTGGGTGTGTCATATGCGCAGGTGATCGTGTATTAGCCGTCAATGGAAGGAGTCTAGAGGGAGCCACTCATCAGCAGGCAGTTGAGATCCTTAGAGACACGGGCCAGGTAAGGGCTGGCACTAACTGGGATAGCAAGCTGCTCGGCAGCCAGCCAGATGGCCTCTGACAATATGCGAATCATATGGGGTGTGTGTGTGTGCAGACGGTGCAGTTGCAGCTGGAGAAAGGTCATCTATCTGCAAGCAGCTCTCAAGCTCCACTCACCCCTCAGCCCACTCCGCGTAAGGACAAGGAGCAGCCAGCGGAGCCTAAAGTTAAACCCGAGTACAGCTTTGTCACACAAGGTAAGACAAACTGCCTCAATGAAGCGTTGACACCAGATCTTCATTTCACACAAAAAAAGGTTCTTATCTTGTGTACTACTAATTATTTGAGTCAGCAATTTTTCAGAAATGGGAACAATACTAGCCTTTGTTTTCACTCCCAGAACAGTAACTTGCCATAGATAATCTGATTTGAAAGGAAATGAGCATGTCTGCACAAGCCATTAGCTGTGCACTGGTGCCCTTTGGGTGGTCAGGACATGCTGAACTTCCTAGAACTGGAAAAACATCTAAAACACACGTATTCCTGGAATTACTTTAATGAAATATATTTAAAAACACGCGTTGTTCCTAGTGTTGGGTTTTTCTTTAAGTGTTTGTTTAATTTCAAGTAATTGTGGAACAAATTCTTGTTTTACAGTGAACACTAAATGACAAAAATGTAGCTTTGTTAATTTTAGGATTATGTGCTTCAACTTGGTTTATCGTATTTAGGTTTATGTTGAAAAGCATAGTTCAAACCAGCCGTGATTATCCTTAGTAGTAAGTAACCTGCAAATGGATTTATTATTTGAGTTTTTTTTAATTGTTCCATTCTAATCATAAAATGTTATGACAGATTTCTTGGTTGTGTGTTTTCAACCATCAAGAAATAAGGAAGGAGATTAGAAACCTATGCATAGCACACGTTTCAGGTTTTTTTTTTTTTTTTTGTGAAGAGAAAAATATAGAAATAAACATTTTTCTAAAAGGTTCAAAGGGTAAAAAAATGAATAATTAGTAAAGGTTTTGGATTTGGTTGGTGCAGACTTGCTGATGAAAATGTTAAGAACATTTAATGTGTGATGCTGTTATTCCGCATTTCCTATTGGAAGGAAAAACCAATAATGGTGAACGTCTCTTATTCAGTCAAAACCAGAATGATTGACCGCTGGAGTTGTGTGAAGCAGGGCAGATTTAGTTGTAAAATATAAATGAAAAGCTGACCGAAACAGGCAGCCTTGAGGCAGGAACTTCAGTGGCTAATTGTGACTAATCAGGACTACAGACTCTGAAAATGGTTAAACCAGAGAATTCCAATGGCTGACTAGCTTCTGATTTACTTGATAATTGGATTTGTGTCTGGAAGACAGTGTGAAGCCAAACAGAAATTTCTTCTAATTTATCAAAGAAAGATAATTGAGGACTAGTACCTGTCTTTATAAATTGAAGCTTAAAGTAATGTTGGTTTTGGTTTTCACTGAGTATTAACTTCTTCACAACAGATAACGTATTTGAGGTGCGTCTGCTGAAGAACACTTCTGGACTGGGCTTCAGCTTTAGCCGAGAGGAGCACGCTCCTGGTGAGCCCTACGGTCCCAGCTTGGTGAGGGTGAAAAAGCTTTTCCCAGGCCAGCCTGCTGCAGAGAGTGGCCGCATCAACGTGGGCGACGTCATCCTACGGGTCAATCAAACTCCTCTCAAAGGACTCTCACAACATGTTAGTAATTATTTTTCATGCAATTGGAGTGCTAATATTTCAGCTGGAGGTTATTGGTAGTTTATTTTTATTCTGCTCCTAGGAGGTGATATCAGCCTTGAGAGGAACTGGACAGGAGGTGACTTTGCTCCTCTGTAGACCAGAAAAGGGTGTTCTCCACGAAATAGACGCCTCAGCTTTGGTAGGTTGGTTAAATAGAACTGCTCTCTCTTCTTTAAGGGAAAAAAAAAACTTTAATTTAACATAATTCTTCACAGACACCCAAACCATCCCCCAGAAAGGTTCCTGTAACCTTCGCAGAGCCCAACCCGAGCGTTAACAGAACTGCTTCTCCTCCTGGGACGACACAGAGGGGCCCTGTGGAAGAGGCTCTGGCAAGGCTGCAGATCAAAAGCCCCGGCCGACACAACAGCTACAGCGACAGCACTGATGGTGATGAGGAAGTAGAGAAAGCTTTCACCACGGCAGAGCAAAGTATGCAAAACTGGGACAGGAGTGTTTATCAAACCCCCAGTAGCAACTCGGAACTGGGACGCTATGACAGCTCTGGTCAACTGGACGGCAGCTTCCACTCAGCTTTTTATTCACCCAACTTGTCAAAGACGAGATTGGACCTCAGCAACAGGTACCTCACCTCTAGATCAATACGTCAGCTATGCATGATTCCCATTCTGTGGGAAATTTCCAATTGCTGCACTTATAAAAACATTGATCTGCTGATATTAATTTCCACGAATTCCAGTTTATTTTAAGAACTGTATAATATGATATAGAAGCAGCATCATATTTGTATTCATATTTGATGTTGAGTGTGTTTTAAAATAGGAATAAAACTGTTTCAGCTGCTAAAGACTTTTATCAACTGTTAGCATTGGAATTAGTTTTTTTGTGGTAATAAAAATACAGTTTCTTTACTGAATGATGTCTAATCTTTTATTTTAAAGATGGTTTGCTGTTTTTGGATTGTACATTCATTAATCAGGAAATATTTGCGTTTTGGGGGTTTCTTTTCTTTTCATCCATTCGCTGATTGGTCCCATTTAAGCTGGAAACTAGTTGATATATTTTTGCAATTGCTTTAAAAGGAGTTCATCACCCATGGAGGCAGACATGGAGTCCTCCTCTCTGCCCAAGTTTTCGTCCGCCTCTCCGCCAAGCCCCAATCCTCTGCCTCCTCCGATGCCTCTGCCCTTGAAATTCAAAGCCCCCAGCAACGGACAGGACGTGGAAGAACCGCCCCCGGTAAGGACTGGTGTAGATCTATACATCAGATGTAGATCTTGCTGTTGGATCACTTACTGAGGTGCTTTGTTTGTTTTAGGAAGCAGAGCTGAAGATCTCTTTACAGAAGTCAGAAAAGGGCAGCCTTGGTTTCACACTGACAAAAGGCAGTGATCAGGGCTGTTACATCCATGACATTGTCCAAGATCCGGCCAAAACAGATGGCCGGCTGAGGCCTGGTGATAGAATGATAAAGGTAGGAATATATTTGAAAGTGTTAATGTAACACAAAAATACATGAACATTGCTGTACTACCTGTTAATTTTTATGTATAGGCTTTATCTTTAGTTTTTGTCTTTTTAATATCTGAATATCTGCTATCTGGGATCAACAAAAATCAAATGACAGATAAATCAGTTCAATCTGTCAGCTTAACACACTGATTTTTTTTTTTCTGTTGAAATCCCTTGTGCTTCTGTCTTTCATTTTGTTTATTTTCTCTTTTCCATCAGGTTAACAACACTGATGTGAACTCTATGAACCACACTGAGGTGGTTGATCTCGTTTGGGCTGCACCTCCAGTGGTTGATTTGGTGGTAGGGAGGATTCTGGAAGCTCCCAAATTCCCATTAGAAGCCCACCTCCTCCCTGATATTTGTTTCAAAAATATCCAAGAACCTCTGGGTATGAAGTTAGCTGCTTTAAAAAAAAAACAACCTTGATTTTGTTGTCAGACTTTTTAAATCTTTGTTCTGAATATACTATTTTTTTGCCTTTTTTTTTCTTTTCAAGGATTGGTCCTCGATGGGGGTAGGGACAGCATTTTTGGGGTCTTATTTGTAAAAGACATCATACCAGGTTCACCAGCCTCTGAAGAAGGAAGCCTGAAACCACTTGATCTTATCCACTACATTAATGGTGCCCCTACTCAGGACCTAACACTGAGTGAGAGTACAAGACTCCTGGAGTTGTCCCTTGATGATCTTTGTCTAAAGGCCACGAGGTATTCTTCATCAAACACGAAGCCTTTCTGTTTTATCTTGGTGACTTTTGGGATTTTTATTTTTTTAATTCTTCTGCTCTTTATCTCTTAGAGATGGATTGCCTGTATCTTCTGAACACAAACGTGTCACCTTTCTGGACAACAACATTGGCTCCAAGCTGTCCTCCAGCGTTAATGGTTTGTTTTGCGTGTTTTTGTTATTATTCTATTTAATTCCATGTTTGTAATCTAACTGTAGCAATTGTTTTTGTTTAAGGCTTCATTAAAAGGGAAGATTCCAGACACTCTGAGGATCTCACTGCAATCTGTCCTGCAGAGGTGAGTTAAAAAACATGTGCTGAGTTTTGTTGGTGCATACTATAATTTATTTTTAAGCAAGGTATTGCCCACAGCCTTCCATAGGTTTTCAGATTCCTTCGATAATTTTATATAATGCTAAATTACAACCACAGAATTAAATGCATGTGAAAGAATTAACTGACTAACGTTAAGTGAAAAAAAAAAAAATTCATAGTTTGGGAAAAAAAAGCTCTTCAAACTTACAGTGTGCTTGACCAAGATCATTCAATTCACCTAGTAAAGCATCGTCATGGCAGCATAATGCCTTGGGGATGCTTTTCTTTACAATGCCTAAGAATGAGGTAATGGAAAAATTTGATTTTCATTTTACAATCTTTTTCTATTAAAATCTTAAAGGCTTAATCGTATTTTGCAAGGGACTAAAATGTTGCAGCCTTTATTCTAAATGTTGGAGGTGTCACAGTGAGTTTCTGTTAAAGGTGATCACATATTTCCCTGTTGTGAGTGCAGGAGGAGATCATAACGTTGGATCTGGAGAAGCCTCCCTCTGGAAGTCTGGGTTTCTCTTTGATCGGTGGGGAGAGGGGAATTTTTGTAAAGTCCATCACGCCAGGAGGAATTGCTGAGTCCTCAGGAAAGCTGCAGGTTGGAGACAGGCTGCTAAAAGTAAGTACTGTTACTGGTTATGGTATACTTGCTGCTTGTTTGTAATTGCAATAGCTTATAAGCTTTTTTATCTAATGCTTCTGTCTAGAATAAGTATTTAAACCTTCAGAAATAACACATAGCCTTATTTATGGCTTCAATAAGACCGGCTGTCTCCATCTTCTAGGTAAATGAGGATCTGATGACCAATATTTCTCACACCAAAGCCGTCACCACCATTCGAAAAGCTAAAGGCCTGGTACATCTGATTGTTTCAAGACCACCAGACCAGAACCCTAACACATATCTGGCTTATCTGCCTCTAAACTCGGACAAGTGCAATGGAAACACAGGTACAAATAGGGCCTTGGTGTTACCGTTTTTTACTGCAGAGATTTTAAGACTTGGATTTGAATTGGACCACTTTTTTTTTTTCTTTAAGATCTAAGTGATGACAGCGGAGTAACCACTAAGCCACAGATGTCAGCTGAACAGAAATCCATCAACGTTCCCGGCCTACCGCCAATAGGTGCAGCAGAGCAGATAAATGCAGAACGTTATAAAACTAAATAAGACACTGAGGATTTTTTTTTATGCTTCTGCTTGAACTCAACAGACTATGACGATGGTCCCCCAGTGGATAAAACTGAGCCGGAGCACAGTGCAGAGCATTCAGAGGACACAGACTGTGATGGATCCTCTTTACCTGAAGACTCTCCTGTGGTACAGCATCATCAAATCACACCTGATAAGGCAGTTGTTTATAGGTTTTGCTGTTAGTAAACAGGTTGTTTTTAATCCACACAGAGTTCTCGTAAGCTGACGTGGCATGAAGAGAGCGTTGACAGCCCAAAGAATGAAAAGTAGGACTCCAATTTGGGATCTAAGATAGCCAAAGTGAGATGTTTTATTCCTACCAGCTTTTCTAAATATATGTTTGTTTTTTTGTGTTAAAATAGCAGTTATCTGCAGATGAGTGCAGTGCAGCCAGAAGATGATGACTTCACATGGGGGAGTGATGAACTCCCCATAGAAAAGATCGGCTCCACACCAACACATGGTAGGGTTTGCTCTAAGGGGACAATCTAACTTTACCAGTAAAGCAATTCTGTTTACTATGTGGGAGGCGGGTTTAGAAAGGCATATCTAAATGATCTGTGTTTGATTAAACTTTTTACCTCACACAGATAAATTGATCATCACTAAGGAGGAGCTGACCACTTTGCCCCTTGTTAGAGTGGTTCCTGGTGGCCAGTACACAGGAACAAAGCTCAGCTCGGTCGTACGCATGATGAGGGGCCTGCTGGACCAGAAAGTCCCACTTCAAGAATTTGAAGTAAGACTGAACTTAAATAACTTTTTTCTGTCCTTTGTGTGTCCCTGTAATGGACTGCTTACCTCTCCCCTAATGACCAGTGATGATAGGCCCCATCACCCAACTAACCCTGCAGGGCATATACATCTTTATTAGCTTTCAACCAATTTATCTGTATATTGGTCCATTTCTTTATCCAATTGTCCGTCATCCACTCAGCTGTCCAGTCTGTTTTCCACTAATTATATACCGTATCTAAAGGCATTGTGGGAAAATTTGCATCCAGGTAATCGTAATTATTTCTGTTTATGCCTTACAAAATTAAAAGACTGGGAAAAATATAGAAGTTTTGATCTGAGAATTGTATATAAATTTATATTCCTGAATATAAGTTAACTTTAACATTTAGTCATAAAAACACAGCTTGACATGCAAGGACTGTATAAAGATATAACCGTATGGCTCTACTATTATGGAAGCCTTTCAAACATCTCCACCTAGCAGTCTTAAATAGGACCCCTTCGATGTTTGGGTAACGCCAAACGAAAAGATTTTCAAGAGAAATTAACCTCAGTTTTCCCCTCTCTCCATGTCAGAATCTTCAGAACCTCCAGCCACTCGATGATTGCTTGGTGGGTCAGACCAAAGAGAACAGGAAGAAGAACCGCTATAAGAACATTGTTCCCTGTAAGCAAAGCGTCACTTCTGTCTGTTTCTGCTTGGTGTGCAAGTTATTCTTTTTTTATTTCAGTAAAAACAAAAAACATGCCTGTGTGTTCTAGTCGACACGACTCGCGTGGTCATCGGCAAAGACGGCAGCTACATCAACGCCAACTTCATCAACATGCAAGTGAAGGACGAGAACTTCCTGTACGTCGCCTGTCAGGGACCTTTGCCCACCACACTGGGCGACTTTTGGCAGATGGTGTGGGAGCAGGATTCCAACGTCATCGCCATGATGACGCAGGAGATCGAGGGGGGCAAGGTGAAATGTCAGCGGTACTGGCCGGACACACCCAGGACGGCAGAGATGGTGGACGACAGGTTGCAGATAAAGCTAGTCAAAGACCAACATCTGGAGAACTTTGTCGTCCGACTCATTGAAGTCAAAGACGTCCAGGTGAGGACAATACCTGATCTTCATCTGTCTCACATAAGCCACACGGAAACCCTAACAGTTGAGCTTTTCTTTCTGAAGGCGAATGAATCCAAGCTTGTAACTCATCTGAACTACACCGGGTGGCCGGACCACGGGACGCCCTCACAGCCCGAACATCTGCTCACATTCATCTCCTACATGAGGCACGTTCACAGATCAGGACCCATCATCACGCATTGCAGTGCCGGCATCGGCCGCTCAGGCGCCCTCATCTGTATAGACGTGGTTCTAGGCCTCATCAGTAAAGATGCAGATGTAAGTGTTGAAACCGTTGTTTCAAAGTCTGCTTCTTTTCATCAGTTTTTCTAATGATTTTTTTTTTTTCTTCAGTTTGATATTTCAGATGTAGTGAGAAATATGAGACTTCAGAGACACGGAATGATCCAGACAGAGGTGATTTACTTTTATCTCTCTAGAAGCTGAGATTCATATCTTAATATCTGCAATTTCACCCTAATCTTTCACTTCTGTTTTGCTTTTTTAGGAGCAGTACATTTTCTGCTATCAAGTGATCCTCTACGTCCTCAGATGCCTTCAAGCAGAAGAAAACGTCTCTGGATAGAAGATCTTTGGTGACCAGTCAGAGCAAAACAGAACAAAAGTCTATAAAGGCAAATATGCCAAACTAGGTTAAATTTTTAATGCCTTAAACTTTTTTTTTTTTTTTTCTGAAGTCATTTTAAGAAATATATTTTTGCTTTTTGTCCTTTCCGGCTGCTGCTCCTTATCACTGCATTTTTGCAAGCTGCTGATTGTATTTCCTATCAAACAAGAGAACATGGATTTTTTTTATTTTCTTTCAGATTTTTTTTTTTTATTAATGTTGACGATGAAATGATTTTATATTTTATGTGAACCATTTCTGTGTATTTTGATGCTGGAACTGGCCTTGACAGAATACTGTGTCAGTATTTGCTATGTAAATCTATTATACAGTTATTAAATACTGCCTGAGGCAAATGATAAACTAAAAGTGTACATATAAATCTCTGGAAGAATTAAAACAGATATGTTTTAAATATCATGTAGAGGAAAATTTCTTTTAAAAATAAGATTGACTATTACAGTTGTATTTTTCTTGTCATGTTTTGTTATAGGGAGCTTTTTGACAGCGGTTTGGTTTCATTCATGCCACGTAAAAGAGATGCAGTCACACTCTGATCATTTATTACAGTTTTATCATCATTGATGGCTAAAAAAAAAACATCCAAAACATCTGACAGGCAGGAAGAAAACCTAAATTATATACCTAAAGTATTTCTGTTTCGTTCCATACCCCTGCGACATTAATGCCATTAAAGTAACTGCACTCTCAAGTGTTATGTGGGCTGGGTTGTGGTATATTATGCTCTAATGAAATGTTCTTGTTTGTCTAAAAGTTTGTACAATAAATTCTTTGAGTCTTAAAACTGATAAACATTGACACACTGTGTAACAGTGCAGGGTTTGGGTAGCTATTTTTGCATGTCTAACCAGTATGTGTTACATTTATGTATAGGCAGTCTAAAAAGGCGCAATTGGCATTAGATCAATGAGTGGAGAAAGACACCGATTGGATGACTGCTCCTTTACTGGTTCTTTCTCTATGCTGCCAAACATGATTTTAACTTTCTTAAACTGGAAGGATTCTCTTTTACAACGTATTTCGTTGGAGTTGAAAATAGCATACGATGCAAAGAGATTTAAAGTTTTTAAATGTAGTAAAGTATGAACAAAGCAAATAGAGTTGTTTCTTAAAGCTATTTGTTCTCCATTGTCTGAGAATGTTGTCCTCTATCTTTTGTCATTCCCTTCTCTCTGACTCTTCCTGCAAGCTTTTCTGTCTTGTCTCTTTTCACTTCTGCCTCTCTTTATCAGGGATACATTTCTTTTATTGTCTTACTTCTCCCCCCATTCCTTTTTCATGTTTCCTCCTTGTGTCAGATCATCCTTATATTTCTGCTTTCCTTCCTAGTGTCCTACTATTTCTTTTACCTTTAGTCGCCTTCTCTCCTTTATTGGCTCCTTCCTTTCCTTTCTGATCCAGTCTGTGTAAAACTCAACATACAATAGGAGTATAGATGACAGACTTCTGGTAAACAAAACCATTTACCATTCCATCTGTTTTCTAAGGAGCAGTTAAAAGATTTAAATGCAATTCTAGGCACATTGGTTCTATATAAGGGTTATTTGTATGTGACCATAATTATGTGCTATATTTTCTACCTAATAATGCAGTTACTATGTTTTGATGTACAGTAGAGCTTCATTACTAAAAGCTGGTAAGGATTTATGCGGCAGAGCAAAATTGCATCAACCTAATAAGGACCATTAAATGGAGACTCAAATGCATATATATTTTTGTAAACGTACTTCTAAACAGCTGCTCTTTTAAACTAATTTTACAGAACCAATTAAGAATGTTTTGTATCCGGCATATTTGCAGGAAGTGAAATCCACAATGCGCTTACATATTTAAAATCAAAATGTCTTTCTTTACTTTAAAACCATTCTTCCTCTAAGTTGGATCCAAATGACTTTCTCTGCTGTTAAACTAGAGGAGGCTTCAGACCAATTGATATTTATATTTTTCGTTCTAAGTTTGAGGAGGGAAACATTAAAAAAAACATTTCTTCTGTCTGTTGCCTCAGTCTAAATTCCTTGAACAGATAAAGAGCACTTCACTAACAGATGGCTGCACTGCTGGAAATCCTGTCATAAGGTTTTCTGGGATCAAACTCTTATGGCTGGGCCAGGTTGCCCCCTTGTGGATAAACATTTGAATCAGCAAATATTAAACTTGTTTAAATCAACCTTAGATTTTATGGGGTGTCTGTTTGCTGTGAATAAATGACTACAGCAATAATGTGAGAAATAAAACCAGTGTAAGAGTTAAAACTGAATTTGTTATCAGTCATTAATAGGCTGATTTGTTTAGGATCCTAAATCTCTTTTTGTGTCATATAATCTGACAGCTCCACCCTGCTAAAATGCTGCACCCAATCTGGCATTAGGATTAATGGTTTAATAATTTAAAATACACGCATTGTAAAACTTAAGCTTTAACATTTCATTGAAAAAGGCTTTTACTTGAATTCTGCATAGGCATCTGAATAAATAAATAGATATAAATCTATTTAGGGAAATGGGTAGCTTTTCTTTTTGGACCTATATAACGACCAGTGGAAAAATTCACTTGTCACATCGGCTCAATAGTCAAAAGAAAGTGACATATATGAATATATATATCTATATATCTATATATATATATCTATATATATATAGATATATATATGTGTATATCTGTATATATACCTATACACATATATATATATATATACATACATATATACACATATATGTATACATATATAGATATATAAGTATATATCTATATATATATATCTACATATTCATATATATATATGTGTGTGTGTATATGTATGTATATGTAGAGGTATTTATATTAATAGGATTTTTTATACATATTGTATATAGCAACTGCACAGGGTTTGTCAGTTAGTCATTTTTCTTATGCTATATAATAAGATGAGATAGACTATTGATCTCACGGTGGGAAAGTTCACTTGTCACATTCGCTCAATAGTGAAAAGAAAGTGACATATGTGTGTATGTATATATATATATATATACAGGTGCTGGTCATAAAATTAGAATATCATGAAAAAGTAGATTGATTTCAGTAATTCCATTTAAAAAGTGAAACTTGTATATTATATTCATACATTACATACAAACTCATATATTTATATTATTTATATTATTTATTTTATTTTGTTTAATTTTGATGATTACAAATGACAACAAATGAAAATCTCAAATTCATCATATCAGAAAATTAGAATATTACTGAAGACCAATAAAAACAAAGGATTTATAGAAATATTGGCCAACTGAAAAGTATGAACATGAAAAGTATGAGCATGTACAGCACTCAGTATTTAGTTGGGCCTCCTTTGGCCTGTATTACTGCAGCAATGCGGCGTGGCATGGAGTCGATCAGTCTGTGGCACTGCTCAGGTGTTATGATAGCCCAGGTTGCTCTAATAGTGGCTTTTAGCTCTTCTGAATTGTTGGGTCTGGTGTATTGCATCTTCTTCTTCACAATACCCCATAGATTTTCTATGGGGTTAAGGTCAGGAGAGTTTGCTGGCCAATTAAGAACAGGGATACCATGGTCCTTCAACCAGGTACTGGTAGCTTTGGCACTGTGTGCAGGTGCCAAGTCCTGTTGGAAAATGAAATCTGCATCTCCAAAAAGTTGGTCAGCTGCAGGAAGCATGAAGTGCTCTAAAACTTCCTGGTATGTGGCTGCGTTGACCCTGGACCTCAGAAAACACAATGGACCAACACCAGCAGATGACATGGCACCCCAAACCATCACTGACTGTGGAAACTTTACACTGGACTTCAAGCAACGTGGATGAAGTGCCTCTCTTCTTTTCCTCCAGACTCTGGGACCTTGATTTCCAAAGGAAATGCAAAATTTACTTTCATCAGAGAACATGACTTTGGACCACTCACCAGCAGTCCAGTCCTGTTTCTCTTTAGCCCAGGCAAGACGCTTCTGACGCTGTCTGTGGTTCAAGAGTGGCTTGACACAAGGAATGCGACAGCAGAAACCCATGTCTTTCATACGTCTGTGTGTGGTGGTTCTTGAAGCACTCACTCCAGCTGCAGTCCACTCTTTGTGAATCTCCCCCACATTTTTGAATGGGTTTTGTTTCACAATCCTCTCCAGGGTGCGGTTATCTCTCTTGCTTGTACACTTTTTTCGACCACATCTTTTCCTTCCCTTCGCCTCTCTATTAATGTGCTTGGACACTGAGCTCTGTGAACAGCCAGCCTCTTTAGCGATGACCTTTTGTGTCTTGCCCTCCTTGTGCAAGGTGTCGATGGTCGTCTTTTGGACAACTGTCAAGTCAGCAGTCTTCCCCATGATTGTGTAGCCTATAGAACTAGACTGAAAGACCATTTAAAGGCTTTTGCAGGTGGTTTGAGTTAATTAGCTGATTAGAGTGTGGCACCAGGGGCCATCAATTTTGAACCTTTTCACAATATTCTAATTTTCTGATATGATGAATTTGAGATTTTCATTTGTTGTCATTTGTAATCATCAAAATTAAACAAAATAAACATCTGAAATATATGAGTTTGTATGTAATGTATGAACATAATATACAAGTTTCACTTTTTAAATGGAATTACTGAAATCAATCTACTTTTTCATGATATTCTAATTTTATGACCAGCACCTGTATATATATATATATATATATATATATATATATATATATATATATATATATATATATATATATATATATATATATATATATATATATATATATATATATATATATATATATATACATATACACATATATGTATATATATATGTATATGTATATATATATATATATATATATATATATATATATATATATATACATATACATATATATATACATATATGTGTATATATATATATATATATATATATATATATATATATATATATATATATATATATATATATATATATATACATACATATATAGATGTATGTATGTAGTATATATATGTATATATATATGTATACATACATATATAGATGTATGTATGTAGTATATATATGTATATATATATATGTATGTATAGGTATTAATAAGATTTTATATATATATATTATATATAGCAATTGCACAGGGTGTTAAAAATTGATTGCACATTAGTTATTGCACAGGTTTTTGCAGTTATAGTGCCGCATTGTAAAGCCTAACATTTAATTCTCTTTCCAACAACTTTAATGCAAGTAGTTTGAATTGCAAAATCGTCTTGATATAATTATTTGAAAAAAAAGAAAAGGGGATGTAATTATATGATATCTGCATTTGCCATACTGAAAACCAGAAATGACGACTGTATGACCGGACGTGACGTATCCCTGTGTTGTCTAATGGCTGCGTACACATTGGCCACGCTTGTCTCTTAATAATTATATTTTCTTTCACTTTTTTTAACGTTTCCTGGATTTTCTGCAGCCATGCCGGGAAGGCAGAGCAACAAACTCCCCAACAACCTGCCGCAGCTTCAGAACCTCATCAAGAGAGACCCACAGTCATATGTGGATGAGGTGGGCGCTGGGAGCAAACATCACCGGTAGAAGTTATGCACGCGGTATTCAAGATTTCTGCTTTCTGTCTCAGTTTCTCCAGCAGTACCGACATTATCAGTCCAATGTGGAGATCTTCAAACTGCAGCCCGACAAAGTCAACAGAGAGCTGTCGGAGCTGGTCGTGTTTCTGTCTCAGGTAGCCTAGCCTAGCATCCAATGTGATAGCATGCATCATGTACTGCAAATGGTGGATAAACATGTCTCCCTGCGTTTCAGGTGGCTCACTGCTACAAGGAGCA